TTTTTATTTTGAGATGTGTCTCACTGTTACTAAATTGTTCAGGCTGTAATTAAACTTGCAGTGTTTCAGAGTACTGCAATTATAGGCATACACCAGCTCATTTGGCATAAATAACACTTTCATAAATAATACACACATTAAAGAAGACTAAAGGAAATATAAAAATGCATTCAACTGAATAAAAACAAATACAAAACTAGTTCCAAGAGAAAAATCAAAAAAGAGTACATTAGAAAACAGCGAAGGTATCCAACCAATAGCTATGCTCCCTCTTCAAGAAGTTAAAGAGCAGAGTACAATAAGCATGGAGTGAAAAACAATTAGAAAATAAAGAAGTGCAATCAATAAAATCAAAACAGAAGAATAAATAAAAAGTAAAATATTGACAACATAAATACAAGGCAAACTTTATCAAATGAAACACTAAAAATAGAAAACACACTAATTACAAATATTAGAAATGAAACAAATGATACTAGTTATGTACCATAGACATGATAAGAAATATGAGCAATATCAGTAAAAATTCTTCACAAGTAGCTAGCAGTTAAATGAAGTAAGTAGAATGGACCTATTCTTCAAAATACCCAAGCTACCAGAACTCACTCAATACAGAAGATAATTATAAGTGTCTGTAACTATCATGGGAATTGAATTTATAATTAAAAACAAACATTCCAAGATTCTTAGGCCAAATAGTTTTACTAAGATATTGTACCACACATTTAAAGAATTAACATAAGCTATACAAAAAAGAATACGTTTTCCAATTGCTTATATGAAGACAGTATTACCCAATACCAAAACCAAAGACTGTGACAAAATAAAATACTACAGACTAATGACTTCAAGAATATACAAACAAAATGTTAGTAAACTGATTTCACATTCCATACAAATAATATAGCACCATGACCATGTGAATTTTATTTCTGGGATATATGACTGGTTCAATATTTGAAAATCAGTCAATACATCAAGATAACACTAATAGATACATAAAAAACATCACATGACCATATCTATTGGTATAGAAAAAACATAACAAAATTAAACACCATTCATGGTAATAATTCACAGAATAATATGAACACATGAAAACTTCCTCAACTTAAAAAACTATAATTGTTCATATACTGAATTATATTTAGTGAAAGACTGGGTGCTTTCCCTATGGTACAGGGAATAAAGGAAGAACTTCTAATCTCACCACTGTCCAGTCAGTGCAATAATTCAAGAAAAAGAAATAGAAACCCAATTTATTTCTGATCTTTAGACTGGAAGATAAAAAATAAAAACTAGTCTTATCTGCTGATAGCATGATTGTCTAGGTGTAAGATTCAAAGAATTCGGGCTAGATACATTTTTACAAAAGGCATTTAACAACAAAAATTACCTAAATAACTGCTATAATAGATAAGTAAATACAAAAGTACAGGATACAGATACAAAAGTAAAGTGTATTTCTTCAGAATATTGACAATCAGAAATAAATTTAAAATAATTCCGTTAATACCTGCTTTCCAATTAAAGTGCCTCGGTGTGAATGCAATAAAACACACACAGGACTTGCGCGTGAACACTGCACCACCCTGACAAAGCAATCCAAGGTGAACTAACGAAAAGCAAATGCAGACCAAAGCGACCGACTGGTGTTGCTGGTCACTCGTCCCACCCACCAAACGGGACCACACAACGAATAAACACCCACTATGAGCAGGGTGAAAAGCAGGATACAGCAGTGATGGGGAACCTGAGTACCACAAAATGAGGGTGTTTACAGAGAAGAACAGTAAGCACCTCACTCTGGTCTCCCCAACCCTACACCCATCTGGGAACAGTGTGGAACCAGCAGGGCCTTCTTCCTATGAGAAAAACTAAGGACAGTGCCAGCAGTGCACATTACCACCTCAAACACTGCTGTCTTTGCTCCTAGAAAGTTGTCTGGCCCTCACAGGCACCCAGCCTCGAAAGCTACCTAGAATGCACACAGCCAGCCTCACTCTTTCAGAGATGCTGAGCTGTTTGGAAATACAGCTGTTACTGAGGCACACTGTGCTCCCATATCCATCCGTCACTGCCCTCTGTCATCACTGAGTCTCAGTGAATCACACACAGGTTAGTGGTGTTATAGTTGGCTACCTTCTAGGGATGTCCTGCAGAGGAGACCCTCTATCACCACCTGTCTCTTTCTGTCTATTTCCCTGCAGCTCAATCAGAGTTTATACCCAGGAAGACGGCCATGTCCATAATGTCTGGGACAAACTGGTGGGATGGAAACAAGCCAGGCAATTAAGCCCCTATGGTATCTTGTTACTGGAGGCCAGCAGGGGAAAGCCTGCAGAGAAGCCCCACCAGGGAAGGCACTGACATGGTACAGAGCTCCCCAGCAGCAGGTCAGCTGCACCCCACAGCACCTGAGCCACGTCAATACCACACCCTCCCCCAAGCAGAGTCATCATGACCCAACACCTGAGCCCAGTGATCACACTGCCACCTCCTCTGAGGAAAACAACTGGCTCAGTAGAGCAAAACAATTCTCAAGATGCTTAGGTTGACCTTGCATCCACCCTCAAGGAAACTGAGCCTCAGCAGAACGCCGCTGTGTATTGACTGTCTCCAAGGCCTTCCCTGTCTATGTCCAGATGAGCTCTTCAGTGTCTGAGGCTGAGACAACCCACAGTCCTGGGAAAGCACCACAGACTACAGCTGTGTTCCACTTTCCATAGTGCTGGCTGTCACTGAGCCTGGTTCTCTTGACTTCTGTCATTTTTGGGTTCTGGATCAACATTATGGGGTATCCCCTTCCCAGCCTTAGTACCACAGTGCTCTACTGCTTTCTGAAACTCTTAGCTGGACTCCTTAAACGAAAGACAAAGGAACTCAGTAAGTGAAATTGCAGTGAGAGGTGCAGCACAGTGATGGAACTCCTGCCTGGCATGGACAAGGCCTGCGTTCAGTCCCCAGCACCACACAACGCCTGTGTTCATAAATGAATGAATGAGAAATTTAAAACTCCTTCACGTAAAATCAGAGAGAGAATGAGAGGCACCATAACTGATTCCACAGAAATACAGAAGATCATTGTAGATTATCATGAGTGAAAGAAAAACTTTTATTCTGAATAGAACGCAGGTAACCTAGGAGAAATGATAAATTCCTAGACACGCACATCTCACCAAGGTTGGATCTTGAAGGAAAGAACCTAATGAAACAAAACAAGTAAACAAGTAACAAGAATGAATGAGAAGTGAAATGCTTCCTGTCAGAGGGAAGCCCGGAGCAGACGCCTTCACAGCTGCATCCTCACTAGCATAAGCACAGTTCTCTTTAAATTGTACCAAAACACTAAAGAGCTGAGTTGTTCCAAACACATTCAAGAGGCCAGCATCATTCTAATATCCAAGCCAGACAAGAACACAACATAGAAAGCTACAGGCCAAAGCCTAATGGACATCAACGTTAAAATTATCAGCCAAAATACCAGGAAACCACACTCAAGAGCATATTAAAAAGATGATTTGACGTTATCAAATGGGATTCATCTTGGGGATGTAAGGATACTTCGACATGGATAAAAGAATGAAGGTTATAAAATGTGTCACCTCAACAGATGCAGAAAGGATATTTGGCAAACTCAACATCTCTTCATGAGAAAAACACAAACTACATTAGGCATGGAAGGAGTATACCACAGCATAATAAAGATGTGGTGGTCCATGCCTATAAGTCTGGGGCTCTGGGAATTGAGAAAGAAGACTTGCAAATTTGAGGCCAAATGACTGAACAATTTTATGAGATTCTGTCTCAAAATTTAAAATAAAAAAAGACGGGGTATGCTTTTCAGTGGAAGGTTCTGAATTTAATTCCCAATACTGCATACCATATGTAACAATGGCTAACATACTAAATGTAAAAAAAGTTGGAAACTGTAAGATCTGGAAAGATGAAAGATACTTTGGGGATTTTGTGTTTGTTCAACATTGTATTAGAAATTCTTGCCAAAGCAATCAGATAAGAAAAAAAAAAAAAAAAGAAAGAAAGAAAAGGTCATCCATATTCCAAAAGAGAAAAATTGTCACTCTGCAGATGTTATGACCTTATATAGAGACAATAATTATTCTGTCAAAAATAGTTAGGATACATGAATTTAAAAGAACTATAGGACACAAAATCCACATACAAATATCAGTAGCACTGCTATACACTTGTAGTGAATTATGTGAAATAGAATTCAAAAGTCCCACTTCCAAGAGCTACTAAAAATTAAGATACCTAAGAATAAATTTAATCAAAGAGATGAACAAAGGAAAAAATTTCAATGCCATAATTTGTTATGTGTACTTCTTTATACCAACTATAGCTCAATAAACCTTTAAAAATATAAAAAGTACATTTAAATAGTAAAAATAGCTTCAAGTCTTTCGCATAAAAATGTAGAAAGCACAAAATCCTTTACCTTTCTTGGCAAGCCCTTTCAGGTCCCCTATAATTGTATGCTTCTTGCTTATGGGATGTAACCCAGGCAAGCATTTTCCCAACTGCTTTTTAAATGTAATATTTATGTACTTTAATTTTTATCACTATAACCAGGCAAATATGAGATTTTTTCCTTTTTCTTTCTCTAGCCATTATTTCTGCTTCTAGGTCTAATTTGCATTTCTAATTTTCACCAAAGACCAACTTTTTAAATCATTTATTTCGTTAACAGATGTTTATGATTCGAATGCCAGATCCTCGTCATGCACACTCCATAAGACTATTCTCCCACCAGGATGATTGCTGACAAGCATTCATTATTTCTTCACAATTATGATAAAGCAAATATTCAAGAAGAGATGGATAGAAAAAAGGGAGAGGTAAGGCAAAGTCTTGGGACCAGAAGGGTAGAAGAGACAGCACTGCTTTGTAAATCGCTAAGGATTAGTAAAATCAGGGTTAATTCAAGGGTAAAGAGCTTTCATATTTTAAGAATGAAGCAATTACGCTTGATCACATACCTCTGTCTCTGAGACTTTACTGTCATTTGACCTCATCTTCCGCGGCACTGTGACATGCAGGAAAACGCCTTTCAAATCTGCAGTAACAACACGTGTTCTGGGTTTTGTTTCTTTGCTTCAGCCTAGTAAGTGTCCTTAATGCAACTACAGTAGGGTTAACACTTTTACTGAACTTACTTATGAACCCACGCTCCAGGATGCAAACTTTAAACAGATTTTCAATGAAAAATAGCTCAGATACAAAAAAACATGGCCATCTGTTGCATCCCCCAACCCCCTTCATAATCACTTGGGAGCTGCAAATTCAGGGCTCTGGGGAATCTACTGTGGGCAGCAAACATGCTCCCCGCTCTCCACCCGGCCAGGCCGGGGGGGATCCGCAGACCCAGGCCACCAACCTCTGGGCGGCGGGGCGCAGAGCCCGGAAGGCCCTGGAGGAGCCCAGCCCTGCTCCGTGCAGACGGCTGCCCCCACTCACCGAGGAGGGCGTGCGGCCCGGCGAGCTCCGCCCGCAGAGCCGGGAGCAGCAGCGGCAGCAGCAGCGGGAGCAGCATGCCGGCCGGCGGAGGAGACGGTTGGCGGGGCGCGCGGGCGGGTGCGGGGCGCGGGGCGCAGGGCAGGCAGAGGAAAGCCGGGGAGCGCGGGCCGCTGTGCCCGGCTGGTGTGCAGGGCCGGGGTGCCTGTTCGCACCCTTCGGCAGGGGTGAGGAGCAAGAAGCCCGGGTCCCCTTTCTAGCGCCTTTCGGTCTCCCCGTCACAGTTTTCCCTGCGGTCCCCGCATTGTGGTGGATGGCGAGGGGCGAAACAGAAGCGTCCGCTGTTTCCTGACAGCTTCCTACACGGTGCTGCCGACGTTATTACAAGTTTACCTTGGTAAAGAAGGAATAAATACACCGCTCTTGTCTCTCTAGGTAATCGATCCCAGGGCACTTTCGGGAACTGGGTACATTTCTCACAACGCTAGATTAAATTGGTAGAGGAGAGGCCAGGGGAAGGTTTAAAGTGCATCCTAAGCGATGTTCGCTAAGCTAACGGATGCGTCGGAATGGGAAGCTGCAGAACCCGGGAAGGAGCCCAGCACACAGCTGCCGCCCGCAGGCAGCGTCCCGAGCACCGGCCCCCTGCGCACGTGCGAGCTCCCTGCGCCACCTCTCGGACGCAGAGGACGCAGACGATCCGGAGTCAGGAGGCTGAAATCTGAGTCGGGGAGGCCTCACCCCCGCCCCCCACCCCCACCCCCACATCCACCCCCACCCCCACCCCCGTGGAAGAGAAAGAGCTGCCGAGGTTACAGTAGCCCATTGAAACGCCTCTGCTTAGCAATTGCTTTGTATGGTGGCCTCTGGTGCTCCGTGTTCTAACAGGTGTGAGCCCTCTCCAGCTTCTGCAGCTCCCCACACTTCTTATCCCGGGACCCCGCCTGGCTAGGATGTGCCTCATCAACAGCTTCAAAAAGAAGCACTGTTCAGGACTAAAACGCAGCTGCAAGGTCCTCGTTCATTCCACCTAGACAGCTGGTAACTAAAAATTATGAAAGTAAGATTGGATACGGATCACCATGCTCCAAGATAAATTACTGACAAGGAGAATGAGGAAACTGGCAGTTTCAACTCAATTTGTATTTTGTAAACAGTTATATTTTGATATAATTCACACAACAAGCAGTTCGCACAGTTAGAGTGCACAGGTGAATGGTTTTCAGCATATTTGCAGATATGTGCGACCATCAGTGCGGTTAATTTCAGACAAGTTCATTCCCTCAAGAAGTATCCCTATATGCTGTATCTATCACTCCCCCGTTTCTCCAACAATCACTCTCAAGCCTAAACAACCAGTAAAGTAATTCTTATTTTTAGAGATGTCCCTGCTCTGATCATTTCATACAAATGAATAAAATGCTGCATGATTGTCCTATTCACTGGGCATAATGGCCTCAGAGTTCACTCCTGGCACCAGTTAAGGCACTTCATTCTTTTTGTGGCTGAATAATATTTCACTGAATAGAAGCCCATATTTGGCAACGTCGGCTGACACACATCGGTAAAGGAAACTCCAAACCTCCGCAATGAGGTTCTTTCTCCTCTGTCCCAGGAACATTTATTGATTGATTGATTGATTTTTTGATGGAGATACTGCGGTCATAGCCTCCAGGTTTGGCTGAGGGTTCCATAATCTATGTGCTATGCTGTGTATTCTGCAAAGGTGTATCCATCTCCACAAGATGAGGATAAGAAAATCTTCTCCAGAAGTACTTTGCTTTAGAGGACAAGTTTGGGTTCAGGGACTTAGCTCAGTGGCGTAAGTGCTTGCCTGGCAAGTGCAAGGTCATGAGTTAAATCTTCAGCACCACAAAAAAAAAAAAAAAAAAAAAAAAAAAAAAAAAAAAAAAAAAAAAAGAAGAAGAAGAAGAAGAAGAAGAAGAAAAGAAATAAAACGTAAAAAAAAAAAAAAAAAAAAAAAAAAAACCCACAACAAAATAGCTGCGATCTCAATTAACAGGGGTTAAGGAAGAGTCACATGGAGACAAAACAGACACTGACTAAGGGATAAACCAGTGTGGGCATCCATACAGTGGGCCATCACCTGTTGGAGAGCTGTAGGCTGCCAGGGCCTTCTTCCATGGTCCCAGCAGTCGACAAGGGGCTGCTGTTACCTTGAGATGTCACAACGTGCAAGTAAAATGAAAGCAAAACTTTAATTTCTACTGAAGGACGGTGGGTGGGTGGAAGAATCCAGGCACACGAGCATGCAAATTTTCATCAGATTTATTTGGTTTATGAAATGGAAATCTTTATGCCATAAAAAAAAAAAAAAAAAAAAAAAAAAAAAAGAGAAAATCAGGGTGGTTGTTGTGGTTGGATCAGGCCCGGCAAAGATGAGTTTCTAGATAATATCCTTTCTTCTTGTTATGGCTTTTTTTTTTTCTGTTGTTGTATGTATACTGTTGTAAAATAAAGAAATTCTGAATTTTCATTTCTAATAACAGTTGTCTAGTTCAACAACACACCTAGTAACTAGTATAGTAACACATTGGTTATAGTACCAAAAAATCTGTACCTCTTATCCAATATTTATGATCCTAAATATTTTTATGAATAATTTGTGTTAGCGACATTAAAATAGAAATATTACAAATTGGTATGTATACATACATTGTCCATAAGTATTAAATGACTAAGGGGCAGAAATCACTAACTAGCAAACGGAAGCAAAGAAAAAGGGGAACATGAAAAAGTATGAAAACCCTCTAGGCATCTCCATCAGGTGTCCACAAGCACACACTCAGCCCTGAGCTTACCCTTTCCCCTCCACGGCATCAAATGTTGCACAGATACCGGGCCACTGTTTTACCTGTCGGATCATGTTACCAGGTTTCAGGAAACACCAAGAGAACTTGGCCACAGACACAGGTATACACTGAGGTGTTGTGGCACAACCTTGAAGAGTTCTCTTCTTCTTTTCTCAGTGAAATAGGAATCAAGAAGTTAAGCTGGGAGTAAAAATGGGCAAGGGTTACTTGAAGATTGAGAATTTGAATATTTTTCATGTACCTGATTTATATCCATAAGTATTTAATCACTGATTAACATAATGAATATTTTCCTAAATCAAGAAAATCAATCCTCATTTCTCTTACATTTGAGGTTCCTGATATATTTTGATTGCTGCCTCTACAACATACATAGGCAACATTTGAATTTTGAGAAAGTTAACTACAGAAGTATTACCAGCAGATGCTTCTGTTTCACTAGGGCGATCTGAAAAGATCGTGTGTTGATTCTGGGTCATCTTGATGCCAGGCTGAAGTGATGGTATTTTCACATAGCAGATGAGTAATATTGTAGCAAAGACTGCTCCTTTGACAACCAATGTCTCTTTCACTGTTTAGAAGGTCATCTCTCAATGCTCAGCTAATAGTCTGTTCTTCTAGACTTTTCAACAATTTGGTGACCAGTGAATTATCTATAGTGTCCTACTGTATTTAAAATAGCTACATGGTTTCTACTATCTCACATAGAATTTTGCTTGGTCTGGCAATGAACTACCATCATCCTACCAAGGTGCTATCACCTGAGAATAGAATCAACAAATACCTATAAGTCATTAAAAAAAGTTTCCAGGAGCAAACATATGGTTCCAGATAAAATAGAAAATATTTTTATAATTCTCTTCTCATGAAAATAATATTTTTGCCTCCTTCTGTCTCATGAAACAAAATACAGCATTTTAATTTCTTTAAAAATATAATATTTTTCTTATTTTTCAACTTTATGATATCTGTTCATAATCTTGAATGTACACCTCTAAGTCATTTGTAACACACAGTGGAAAATTCATTCTGGTGCTTAAAGTCTGAAGATGTTCTTCCTACTGCAATTATAATAAAATTAAATCTTTCTTTTCATTTTGTGGGCCACATATTATTTGTACATTCACAGTATCTAACTTTATTAATTTTCATATTTTTATCATTTTCATATCAATGTATAGTAATATGTTGTGATATGCCAGCAAACTTCAACTTTTCTCTGTTCTTCAAACATACCAACTTTATTCTTATCTTCAGATTTTCTCCCTATCTATCTGTTTGCCTAGATTACTCTCCCAGAGATTTGCCTGGCTGCTTCTTTATTTATATTAACCGAAGAGTCAGGTCCAAGAAAGCTTTGTTTGGAAATGAAAAGTGAATTAATTACTTAGAATGAGAAGCACAATCTATTGCTTCACTTTTTTCCTTTAGTCTCTTTAGGAGAAACCACATTGTTAATTTTCTATTTTAATAGCTGTCTATTCCCACTAGATGATGACCTAAGTAGCACTAACATTATCTGTCTTATGGCTAATTCTTTCTGCATTTCCTGGAATACTCCTCACTGGTGGGAGGTGCTTAATAAATGCCATATTTTGCAAATGAATGAATTAATTTCAGATGCTATACAGAGCCCTGATTTTCCTATTCCATGTTCCCCTTTTCTCAACCCATGTGATGATTAAACAACTTCTTCATAGAAGCTTTTATTTGCTGGTTGTGAAGTGTATAAATTATAGGATTCAACAAAGGAAAGTTGACTCATGGAACACAGACACCACCTTGTCAGCAGGGAAAGCCCTGAATGGGCGAGATGAAGTTGCCAGGCCCAAACTTGAGGAATATGACTATGATATGAGTGGTGCACGTGGACAAGACCTTATTCATTCCCTCCGAAGAAGACACACGAACATGGCATAGAATGACAGCATAGGAGGCCAGAAGCCCCAGGAAGCACAGGAGGGTCATTAGACCACTGCTGAAGACCATCAGGAGCTCTACCACAAAGGTGTCTGTGCAGGCCAGTTTGATGACACGTGGCACATCACAGAAGAAATTGTCCAGCTGCGTTGGACCTCAGAAAGGCAAATGCAGTATGAGGGTCACCTGAATAATGGAGTGGTCAAAGCCTCCAAACTACAGAGCCAGCAGCATTACATAGCAGGCGTCAGGGCTCATGATATTTGAATACTGTTAAGGCCACAGATGGCCAAGTAGCGGTAAAAGTCCATCATGACAAGAAGTAAGACCTCCCCTCCTCCAAGGAAGTGCAAGAATACAACTGGATGATGCAGCCTTTGTAGGAGATGATCTTCTTCTCAGACGGGAAGTCCACCAGCAACACAATAAAGGAGTAGGATGCATCCAGGAAGGCCAAGTTGTCCAGAAAGAAATAAAGCGGTGCTGAGATCCCAGGGTCTGACTGATGGTGAGGATGATGAAGAAATTTCCAGGGAGGGTGATGAAGTAGAAAACTGAGATCAACACAAAGACCAGTAGCTGAATCTCTCGAGACTGAGTGAGAGCAAGGAGGATGAATTTTATTATCACTGTGCCCTTTTCTATCTGCATCTCTATTTTTATGTCATATCAGACATCAGACGGTATTTCCATGTCTTTCATCAAGAACAAATCATCTTTGGGTAAAGGCAAATGTACCACATCTTTATTACACCATTTCTCTCCATAATTTGAGACTCTCTTCTATGTTATAGTTCTTTCTATATTTTTAACTAGGAAACTACAGTTATAAAGCCACATTCTGTCTCCCACCCAGATCGTATACTTTCTTCAGCTGTTGTCTCACGTACGTGGGAATGTGATTGCCTTGGATTTATTCCTGACTTGCCTGTATATGCAAGTATGT